GTTTTTCTATATAGGTGTGTTTGCAGCATTGCCTGTTGAGAAACAATGGCGAAAACACGTGACAAAAAGTGGGAAAACTGGACCGGAATTTCCTGCTGAAGTGTCTCAGCAGACGAGCTGATGTGCATTTGACAGGTTGGCACTAGCCTGGACGCATTCTCATTCAGAAATCCTTTCATTTCAAAAAAATCAAGCAAATGCTTCTGAAGCAAGAATCATCCATTGCGAAGAAACATTTATTTCCGGAATACTCTGCAACTCTAAGAAATAAAGAGAAGACTTGAATGGATGTGGAAGCAAAATCTGCTTACTTTTATCTCATGATTTCTGAAATTATTCGAGTGTAATTAATCTCAGCTGGTGTACTTCTCAAAATGCAGTTGAATTGAGTCATTGAATGGAATTTGATTTTTGCTTTTGAGTGTTCACAATAAGGCTCAAGGAATGTTCCCACATCCAAACTACTTCCCCTCACCAACCTCATTCATCCAAACACATTGCATCATATACGAATGGAAAAACAAAGAAGTAATCTGTATATGAATATTGAAAGAAAAGAAAATATATCCGAAAATGTAAAATTACGCAACTGATGTAAATACATGCGCTTTTCCCCTTCTCTGATTTCAAAAGGAAAATATCAGTGGAAAGAATTTTAGCATGAGGCACCTATTGAACCTAAATTAAAGCACAAGGTGTTCAGCCTGTTTCCATGTAAGGTTTAGTCTGTGAAACAATTTGGAAAGAATCTTTTATGATGCATCTGCTAGAAAAACACTTCAGTCACTCGCCATGCAGATGAACCCGTCTCACTGTTTCTTTTTTAAAAGTGATTTTTTTTCAATCATCAAGGCAAAATAATTTCTCCTCGATCAACGACTTCCAGCAACATAATTCAGTTCTCGATAGAATGATTCGAATGACTTGTCGAAGCTGCGAATGCATTTTTCACGAACTCCGAAAGATGGGATGAGGACAAGCTGTATACTATCTCTGTATATATAAGCTGTGTATTATAGTAGGGCATCATTGACACCTTGTACAGTCATTCTTCTATTATGTTCTTTTCTATGCTATCATATAGAGCTGTTTGGTTGTTTGCTGGGGGGAAATCTGGGACCAATGATCCTCACACACCCACGCCACAAAGAGATGAATGGGAATGCACCAGAATAGCGTCAAATTATTTTGGGAACTTGGGCGAAGAATCATAGAAAATATTCTCAAAATTATTGGCATATTTCGTAGCAAAATATTCACCGTTTCTTAAAAAAAAAAATTGGCCTTATTTTTCTTTTGTGAAACGCCTCAATAAATTTCAAACATTTGTTTCGCAATGAGTTGCGAACTTTGGCAACAAAATCATAGAAAACATTCTCGAAATTACTAGCATTCACGTAATAGCAAAAGACTTTCTCCCAAAAAATATAGCAAGTTCACAGTTGTCTCAGATGAAAAAACTTGAATTTACAGTATTATGTAATAAAACTTCTAAATCTCACCAACCTCGAGTGGATCCAACGGCCAGAAACAGAGCAACGAAGACATGAATTGCAGAGAGTTTCGCAAGTCCGCGGTGATTCGAGGTGAACATTTTCATTCCCTTCCTAAAATTTGAAAAAAACTGTCGTGCTGAGAGCAGAAATTTCTGCAAACAGTTCCTGCAACAGGCAAAAAAGGTTCCACTCAAAGAGACATAATCAAATCGCTTCCATTTCTTCAATCACTGTGAATCAGTTGAACGGAAGTTGCAAAAGGAAATGTTCACGGTATTGACAAATTTCAAAATAGTTAACGAAACTGGCGCATCAATTATGTGTGACACTATCACACATAATTATGTGTGACACTATCACACATAATTATACCACCACATTTTTGTCTTCTTCCTTTTTCATCGAAAGAAAGTGAAATAGATGGAATTCGCGCTTTGAAAATTATGAAGTTTTTTTTACACTGCCCGGTATTCTTGGTATTTTTCAAGGGCTTTTTCAAGACCCATGCACTTCTCTCCAGTTATTTCTCGAAGTAAATTAAGACGTTTTTAACATTTAAAAACAGCGTTGGGAACGTTGAAAACAATTCTTGGCAGAACTTCGACGAGTCCAGCCACTGGAGCGCAAGTGATGCGGAACCACGGGTCCCAGTGGTTTTATACAGGACTCATTCCAGGGCGTGACAAAATATCTGCGCAAGACCCTCGTCAACCCCAGGCCTATTTATATACATGCCTTAGGAAGAAAAAACCCACGCTTGAAACATGCAGGGCGAAAATAAATAGGAAATTGATTTCAAATATGAGCTAGAACGCTTTATTCATATAGTTTTCTGGTTTCAGCTTGTATATTTTAATTTGGATGTGCGTTGGCATCAAATTTTACATTTTTTTTAGATCTTTTTCATGCAAATATAGAATTGAGTGACATGTATAGAGAAGAAAGTTAGACATTTTTGAAAAAAATAAATTTTGCTTTGCTCAACTGATTTGATACATTAAATTCAGGAATTGAATATACATGTAGAATCTCTCCTCAACAGCCTTGTCTAAAACAAAACTCTTCATGCTCTATACTGAATGAATTCTTTTTTTGGTCTCATGGTGTTCTCTTTCCTTGTTATAAGGATTGGTTCTCTAGAAAAAAGTTCTCTGTAGAACAAACTTTTTCTGCTCCCTTGAATTTTGTTACACAGAACTACAGAGTCCATCTGTGTACTCAACTGTATACTATTGTCAAGTCGACTGCTTACTATGTGCACCAGTCCTGTACAGGTGTTACCCTGCAATTGCACCCTAATTTGTTGCTGGACTATTGGGTTTAGATTGCATAATAGTTTAATTGTGAGGCACTGGGAAGGTGGCCAAAGCAGGTCAAATTGTAGGGCAGATGTTGAATTGTGAGTCCGACACCCAGAAAATTTGACTGTCATGTTGCTGGACTAATGATAAGTTGCAGGAGGTCACATTGTGAGGTAACACCTGTATATTTATGCTACTCAATCCTTGAGTGCAAGAAGGTTTCTCTGCATGCTTCAGTAATGCCAGGATTTTTTTTTTTGCAGGCTAGTGCATATTGTTTTGACCAAAGGTGACCCGAATGGTGCCATCAGGGTAGAGCAGTCTAAGCGACAAATATTCAAATGAGCCAGCAAGGGGAGGAAAATTCAAAAAGTCCAGCAAACCCCTTGTTTGCTTGAAATGCTTACCTGTCTTTTCCAGTCAATCAGATGCAACACAGGTGATCCGCCAGTGGCAATTCCTGCCAGAAATGAGGAGGGGAATGAAATGTTTTCAGACATTTTTGCTACCTGTAAACATTACAGGCGCAAGCACTCATCCAAATCCGTTCTGATAATTTTGTGTGTGATCTGTGAATGATTAGGTGTAAATCAAAATCCAATTCAAATATATCTTTCTGGGATTTCTTAAAGAAATCCCCAGCTAATCCCCTCAGCTAATTTCCTGTGTTTTTTTTAAATCTGTTTTTATTTGCCTAATTTTGTGATCTTAAATCACAGACCCCCCCCCCCCTTTCATCAATCCTCTGTGGCTGAGGGTTGACAGGAGCCTACCTTGGGAGAGATTCTTTTTGGCTCTCTCAAAACATTTTTCTTCTGGTCGAAGAAATATATGCAGACATTTCCCAACTTAGGCTATATTGGCCAGTGCAATATTTTTATTATTTTTATTATTATTATTACTAATACCGTATTCTTATTTTTTAATAGTATTCTCATTTATTATTACTTTTAATTCAAACGTATGGTGAGAAATTCCTTCAAAAATATCATGCACCACTGCCAAAGGGGTAAATACCAAACGTCTTGGCTGCCTTTGACTATTTCAAGCAACTCTTCTGCCAAGTGTATGTGACAAGAAACGAGGCAACGTTTCCAAGATTTTTGAAGTGGAGAAGACCGACAAAAATTTCGCGAATAAAGTGATTGTAATGATTCAAACATTCTCAACATATCAATTTTTTCTGTAATCCCAGTATTTTCTGATTTTCCATCATTTAAGTTTTTTCATGTGAATTATGAGTAAAATGAGGAGGGATTTTCATGGATATAATTGAATAAACTAAAATAGCATCATTCAGCAAATTTTGGATGAACCTCATACATTTCAAAATTGAAAGTATTTTTTCCGCACAAATCAAGTACGAGAAGCATTATTTATTACCGGTTCGTGCACGAGATGGGCTGGGATTATTTCAAGACCTGATCCTGAACTGGTCCAAAATGTGCTTCAACTTTTCAACTCTGCAGTATTGAAATTTACCTGAGGTCTTTCATAATCCCACGCTGGTGTACAATAGTGACACATCGACCCACGCGCTGCGCTTCCTTGCAAAGTTGACTGACTTTGACCCCTTGGATTTAATACCTAATTAGCCCTCCGTGGTTTCGAGGAAAACTTCAAATTACCTTAGATGTGTTATCCTCGTTTAAGCAAAGTCAGAGGTACGAGGCGTGATGGGATTTTTGGATATTTCCTAGGTTTTACCAGGGTTGAATCTCTCGTTGAATAAGTCGGTTATTTTTTTGAGGCTTTGAATTGCATTCGAAATCCCAAAGCATGATGCTGCGAAAAAGAAGTCAAAAGTTTGAAGCTCGATTTCACATCAAATTTCGAGTAGCCATATTCCACACAATAATTCATAAATTGTATCCTTGATATCTTGAATGAAATGTCATGACCAATCATGGTGTCTTTATAATTCGTTTGGAACGATGGAGGAAAAAAACGACATGCATTAGAAATTACGTTTACCATTTTGATGCAAAATGAAATATGTTCTCTTACATCTCCAGAAATAATTGAACATTTTATTTTTATTGAAATGTCAAATCTCTAAGGTTAAACAAATGCTAATCCCTCGAAAAGATTAGCTACTTTACACCGACCTGAGAAAATGCATTTAAATCTGGGGATAGTATGTTGAACAACACTGAAAGCTGGCCAAATGATTGGGCTATGCGACTATAGAAAAACAAACGAATTTTTAAATCTTTGAAACTCGGTTGGATCTATTTCAGTGAGTCTCCAAACTTATGAGCCAGCCTTCACGTATGCTTCAAATAATATCTCACAAACCGCTCTTCCTTCTATGAAATATAATCTCAAAATATCAGAATAATGCATCAATTTGGTTCATCATCCAGGGTACGCAAAAAATTCAACGCGTATTTTCACATCATTAATTTTTTTGTGTGCTGGAAACGCGTTTGTTCATCATCAGGGCAGGTAGGAGTCGGAGGTGAGTGCTGCCAGAAAGCAATAGTCGGTGAAGTCTTGGGAATCTGCATTGTTGCACAGTGGAAGGTCACTCGGTCTGCACTTGCCCACGTTGCTGCAAGGCAAGCAACAATCGGGTTGCGATGGAGTGTAAACAGACGAACAACGAACCCCGTCTCGGGTCACGCATGTTTTCGTGGCCCCAGTCTGCAATGCCTTGTAACTGCCCCAGCCTTCGCAATTCAGCTGACCCAGGTTCAAATTTGCTTCCGTGGTTATATAAATATCCCGGGCACACACTGAAATAAAAAAGGATCAGTCAAGCTGGATACGCATTAGAGAATATATTTGATGGATATTTATGTATTAATAAATATGCTGCATGTAGGGTGGGTCCAACGAATGTTCTCAGCTGTTCTCAGAATAACACATGATTTGAGCTGGAAAACAGTTATTAGAAGAACGTTTTCGGCACACAAAAAATTCAGCTCTCTTTGATTCATGTTGCATGAATTGAATGCGACCTTTTGTCTGCGTACGAGTGTGTATTAGACATGCAATTCTTATTCAAGTTACTCATTGAAAAGTGGACTGGACACAAACAAACATATTCATTGATGGTCATGATGAAATTGGATATCCAGGGTTTTGTCTTGTGAAAAATCGAATTGACCTTCTTTCTGTGTTCTTTGAATTATTTTAATTGTATTTTTTTCAAACCGACTGTCGTTTTAATCTGCTATATGCTGGTGCTCCGTGCGTGTGCATCAAATTGATTATTTTGATTTTGTCTGTCACATAATTTACTATTGCTTTGTATGATGTTGCTTTGGTGAATTTTGCATGTGAAAATTATGAAATAGAGTCAGTCTCACTGAAAATGGCACATACTAAAGCACATCTGAATTTCACTTAGAAGATGAGCTGCTCACCTCATCGAAGTTTGAGTCTACAGCACCAGCTGATTCTTTCAAATGAAAAATCGAAAAATTTGAATACAATTTTAGGCCACTGAAAAAACTATCATAATAAGGCATCGAAATTATTCTCATCTGCCAAAAAAAGTGAAAAATTATGAAAAATTCTAGACTATCTCAAGCACATATTTTTAGACGCAAATTTTCTTTTCTATATTTTCGATCAAAAGAAATATCAAAAGTTCCTAACTTTTGACAATATGCGAAAAACATTATTTTCAACCAGCAAGCAAAGTAAAAAGTTTTAAATGTTCACTACATGTTGCCAGCATACATGAGCAGCATACAACTTTGTAGTCATGACCGGGAAAATGCTTATTTTCCAATATGCATCGTCTTAGGAATGCGCATTAAAACTCTCCAAAAATTCGGAATGCTTACAACATCATAAGAAAAATTCCAAAAAATGTTTCAAGTTTTAACATGAGAAATCCCGAGGACGCGCGGATCTAGGACATTACTCGTGCATAGATGAAACTGTTTACGGAGATCTCGGTTTCGAAAGGTTTCTAAAAATGTATCTCATATTTTAAAATTGAATTACTGGAATACACTCACAGCAATCCATTTTCCCTGCCTGAGTTCCGTCCTCCAGGGATGAAAATCTCGTCGGACTTCCATCCGGATCAATGCATCTCGTACTGTAAAGAATTTTGAACAATGTTGCTTTCATTTTTACAAGCAAACCAATACTCAAAACATTTCAGAGGTTGGATTCAACAGGGACACCCATCGTAATTTAAATAAAAACAAGCAATGTAGATAACTCACGAAGCTGCAGTAGAATAGATTGGTCCGTATGTATGATCAAAGTCGCATTCCGCAGTTTCAAGATTGGTAATTTGTAAACCACGATCACGATAATATTTCAAGATCTTCTGCATGAAATTTCTGTATGATCCGCACGTCTTCTCTCCACCAAAATATCCGTTGGGTAATTCAGCAGGATCATCTGGAATTCCATCCAGCACGCGAAAAATTCCAATCATGGCATTAGAGAAAGTACCACACGAAATTTGCCCTGTATTCATGCGGTGTTTGTTTTAAGTCAGATATATTTGTGGGCACCTTTTTCAGACGGAATATTTAAAGGCAAGTGCAGAAGGGATGTTCTTGAATGGAACCCATTCGCAGGAGTGAATAACTCAATACTAGGATAGATAAGGACAGGAAGAATCTTTTTTAAATAAATATTTTCATAAATCCAGAACGATAGGAATCTATTAGCAAGCTCATTTCGGTTTTGGAATTTTTTTTAACTTTTTGGGCTTTAGAAATACCGTTGAGCTTTTATAATTTCACATGATGAAGTACATTAGTCTTTCACCTCACTGTAACGTTGAAAAGGTCAGAAGCTGCAAAATTGGTGTTTGAAGAACTGTACTGTGTTGTGAAACCTAAATTTATATTACGATTTCAGCAAGAAAAGAGCGACCAATTATTCTAGCAGGATCGTTCAATATTATTGAAGACATTCAACCAGTTTCGGTGGACCTATGTAATGGTAAAATGAGAATAGTATATACAATGGCTGGGCAATTTAAAGGGAATAAAATTAGATATCATTTGAAATTTGAATCAAATTTCTGATGTATTGTACTGTACTTTCAAAACTTGTGCTTAGAATAATTGGGTACAGTTACCTTGCAATCCAGTCCTAATCTGTTGCCAAACTAATGTTAAATTTCAAAGATGTCAAATTCTGAGACATTTCTTGCAATTCAAAAATATCAGGGCGAAAAAATTGGCCAAAGCAAGTCAAATTGCAGGGTTTATTGTATTTATTGTATTGCAAGTCAACCTCACTGCAAATTTGACCATCAAATTGCGGGATGGTCAAATTGCGGGAGGTTGGATTGCAAGATACCATCTGCACACGGAGGTATGTCTTTAATATGGACCCAAGTTGATGGCATCCATAATATATTTAGGCCAGCTCCATGCCACCTCAATTTGAAGTGAATATTTTTTTAAGGTTGGAAAACAATTTCTCACCTATAGAAAAAAGCAATCCTAAGTTTTAATCAACCTGAAAATTTACTGCAGTAAGAATACTTTTGTGATGGATATTTTCACCATCTTCTGTCAATCTAGGGATGCCCGAATGTGCCCAAACTGGAGCGAGAGCCGAAATGTTAATGAATCGAATTTTGCATGACGCACACGGTTGCAAAATTAGGATACAGTATAGTGACTGCTGCCCATCGTGATATTTACCATTTCATGCTAGAACCCTGCAGCTTTCAATGACACACGGATTAGGAGAAGGAATAAACCGAACGTTACGTAATGGAGATCAAAAATGTAATCACCGCGTATGTATGGTATACAGTACAGTATTTAAGTCACTGACAATAAATGAAATCCATATTCTTGCACATTTCCAAAAGCAGGTCAGCAGAATGTTGGCCTGACGTCTTATACAACGTTTGGCTATACGTTAGTCAAGAAATGCGTATCTATTATTTACTCTGGGACCTCGACAAACGGACGAATCAAATTATAGGCACCTGAAACTTACAAGAATATGCCCCAACAACCGGAGAAGGTCTCAAAATAGTGAGACTTGCCGAATTTCTTGAAAAACGGAAACATTCAATTTTTCTATATTTTAATATATTTTGAACTAATCAAGAAATTGAAATTCACAAAATTATCAATTAATTCTATCACAAATTCACTCTGATTCCTAATAAAAAACATAATGGTTTTTTGCTTTTTTGTGAGTTTTACCCCCTTTCTGTGCACAATAAAGCAAGACTTATGCTTTTTCCTCACTTATTGGGCTATTTTTCATGCTAAAAGATCAGATTCTGTCCAGTTTTTTTGTTTACAATTATACGCTGTATGTTGAAGTTGAGATTTTTTTTGAATATTTTAGGGGGACTTCTTCCTAATTTTTGATAAACAAGAGAACTGTTTAAATGGGATAACCTTGAAGTCTTTGGAAAAATTTGTTTTGCCAGAAAGGTTTTTCAACATATACAGACAACGTCCAAGTTCCAATCACCACATTTACTTGATTATTTCACACTCAAACTGGAAGAAAAAAAAGGGGGTACACGTCCAACCATGGATAACCCTCAGAAAAATTGGAAGTTTAGGTGCGTGTCACACTTGAATATATACTGTATATGGAACTTTTGGACACAAATATTTTCAAAAATCGAAACTTACGATAATTTATCAAGTTCAGGTTGAATCCATGCTCAAATTCAAATTCTGGCGTCTATTTTTGAAATGTTGCATATTTTCAGTCAGAAAAATAAATGAGTCTGACTACGGCATAGGTTTTCTTTAAAATGTTAAAGCGAAAAATCGAAGTACGTGTCTTACAACTCTTACTGCATGGCGTGTGGTACTCGACTTAAAAAAGTGCGTCCGCATCTCGAGGCCCCGCTGTAAATGTATATATTATAGTCTTAATTTACATTGCTGCAAAATATTACGAAACTGCATTACAGTGCACCTTTTCATTGCGTTGAATCTGTTCTTTTACCTGCTTGGGAGCCCAATAATAGGAAAAACAAAACAAAAATTAAATAAAATATAACGTGGGTAAAAACCTACAGCAAGGCAGCATTTCCAGGGACGCCTTGGGCACAAACGGGCCTGTGATAATCGATGAGGTCGCATTGACGCAAAAGCAGAGATCGTCCTGACACTGGAGTCTCCTGAAGCTCCCAAACTTGTCGCACGTCAACGTCACGTGCGTCTCCGAATGAGTCTCCTTCAATTCCGCCACCGCCGCCGAACATTCTGAATTATAAGTACCAATGGCAAAAAAGTCCCATAAACCTTCAGTCACACCCACATACCCTAAACATATATTGTACAGCAGTAAATCACCAGAAACAAAATTCGCTCTGTATAGAATTTTGTTGCAGAAAACGCCAATAACATGCTGGGAATTACGATAACCCTATAAGGAACCAAAAAAGAGTATCAATACTTATTCAGATAAAATTGCTATGAAGTAAAATTATATTGCAACGAATCACGTTTTATCATCATTTCTTTTTCTCCTGGCATTTTCTCAAAGGCATTATTATGAAAATAATGTTCCAACCAACTAATTTCAGGCTCAAATTAATTCGAAAGAATTGTTGGCCCTGATTCTGGGTTTTATTCGCAGGGATAATTCAATAAATAGCTGAAAATGGAAAAAGTAAAATGATGCAGTATTCAAATTGTCTTATAATGAAAAGTTTACCTTGGAGATAAGGTAGTGTTAAAAAAAACAAGAATGAAATGTTTTGAGATGAATGACGTTTAGTAAGGCATGCAACGTTTAATGAAAGGGAAATTGCAGTGCTATTTATTCCTAACTTTCTTATCTTCCTTTCTTCAGAGATACACCGAGAAATTCTGATAAGCCTTGAATTACCCGATTAACCAGCCTTTCACATTATTCAATGCCCATTACCCTCAAAATTCCAGTCTGGAATGTGTTAAAAACCAATAATCAGAATACAACAGATTTCTCTCAACAAGTTCAACGCCTCCCTTTTTCAAAATTTTCCAGGTCTCTGCCTAAGTTTTCCCAAAAACCAATACATTAAAGCCATTAACCTAATGGCTTCCAACCACTTGGAAGCCTCCAAAATTCAAATTTTCTGCAGACCTTTTGGCTACTATTCTATTGACACAGGAAAGCGGAAAGCAATAAAAATGTAACTTGATGTATTTCAAAAGGAAGTCCAAGCCTAATTTCAACATCATCATCCTGTGAACTCATTCAGGAAGCAACTCCAGCCTCAGAATATATCACCAATGACAATTCCCCGAAATTTTCCTTTCTTTTTCACCCACAAAAATTGATCATATCTCCAACTGGAATTTGTTTGCTGATCCCTGGAAGTTCTACTTTAAGAGGTTTGACTGTACACAGAAAAAGGTCGGTTCGTTGGCATTTTCTCACACATTGAAAAAGCCGGTTTCCACCGGAATCAATTAACGCAAAAACGCTTCGGAACAGCGGGTCTTCTGATGTCAAACTGGGATATACAGTGTGTTTGTCACATGAATATTTCCGCATTTCTCGACAGCAAGGGCGTGAGAAAACGACTGAAGCGACAAAATCATGAAAAAAGGTAGTTGGAAGGAAAAAGATTCTGCGACATATTATATACACGTTCCTTCGGCTCGAGTCGTTATTAAAAAAATAATAACATTTAATATTGTGTTCATTTTGTGGGTGAAGATGCATTTTTTCTTGCACTGACAGATGACTTCTGCGGTGACCTTTTTTCTGGAATAATATTTCCATTCATGCACTTGCTGGCATTTAACGAGCAACCGACCTCATATTTGCTGAAGCAACTCGGCAAACAATTATATTCTTGACATGCTGTGGCGGAAAATGCATGGATGTAAACCTAATGTATATTTCAATTTAGTTCCGTAAGTGGCGATTTTTCTCTTGGTCATGCTGGATCAAAACATTATGACACTTGATTGTTTGAATCAGGAGCATTGGGAACAGGAGTCAAGTTCATCATCTGAATAAAACCATCAGTGTTTCCGAAATAGCGTCATGCCTGTCAAATTTGACTCAACTGTAAATTTTATATAGGTACAAACTAATACAAAACAATCTTGTCTGCGTAACAGATTTCTCGGTTTATTGAATTAGTTTCTCGCCGCATAAGACTTGCCTCAAACGAACCTTTTTTCTACCCAGATTTTTTTTTTTGGTTCATTGAATTCCGACGTAGACGGAATCTACTTTTGATATTGTTCTACGGTTTGACGGATATGTACGCACGTGGATGGAGGATTGTGGGAACCGGCACATTTCGGAAAAATTAAAATTACCGTACTTTGGAAGAGCTGATTATAGAATTGTGAATTAATACAACGCTCATTGGATTATTGGTGAGAACATGTTTGCTTGAAAATTCCGCAAAAGAAGGCACTGAAATAACTGAAATTTTATTCTGCCGTGACGAAACTACGTATTTTCCCCCAGATAACCCAAAAAAACGATTTTTCCATGAGGAAATATAAAGGATTACATTCTGAATTTTGCAATACTGTATCTCCATGCAGGATTGAATATATACAGTAACTTGTATATTACTGAGATCTTGCCAGGAAACAAATATGAATTATACTAAATGGCAACAGTAAAACTTCGTAACAATAAAGAAAATTCCAACGGATATTTTCTTGGACCTGACGGTTTCTTCATACGAAGAACGTTAAACATTTTCAATTTTTAATGAGAATATTTTCACGGATAATCTCAGTATAAAAATATCTGTCCTGATGACGCGTGCACGAGTAATTGTCCTTGATTTGCAAAAAAAAAACAAAGGGGGGGGGGGGAAACCCCTGATTTTAATTTAAAATTCAGCATCATTTTAGGAATTATATGAAGTAAAACTCAGTTATCAGCATTCCCTCAGCTTCGATGTAATATTTCGAAATTACGTTTTCAACACTTTGCTTGAAAAAGAACTACTCAATTTCTCAAAATTGAGAAAATGTTATTTTTAAGCAAGCGCATTTTTCTTTGCTTCAGTATGATCAGCCCATACTTTTCAGAAAATCGATTGAAGCCTAACTTGATCCTACCATATTTTAAATTTCCAAAGTTTCATGGAAGATTTCATTGAAATGAATTGGAAATGATGCCAATTATAGTATGGTTTTATTCAAAAGGAAATAAAATTCAGAGCAAGCCGTACACCTTGCAAGTACTAGTTTTCAAAGTTTTGTACAAAATAGATAAAATTGAGCTGACAGGGAATTGATGAAAATTTTATAAGTTGAAAAGAAGAATTCTAGATATAGGTCCTCTGTAGAAAAGATAATGAATTCAACACAGCAATTGGCCGGTGCGCAAACCAACCAGGGATTCTCTCCCAAAAAAGCGCAAGCCCTTTGTTAAACAAATCAACAAACAAGAACACAAAGTACAGAAATATTCACAACAGTTTTCAAACCGCAAATATGCACAACAGGTTTTCTGATTTTCTGCAAAAGTTAGTCTGGCAAAGTATGAGATTTTTCAGACACAACGTAAAGCTTTGAGGTAGAAATTTGGACTGTGTTGTCAGCACAAAAATCAGGGGTTTTTAAGCTCTCAAAACAACAGGGAGGGTTGGGTAATATCTTCAGGGAATCCCAGATGTTGGGTAACAAAAAATACCAGGTGCTGGTGTTTTTCATTTTGGTTTTTGAACTAGTAATGTTTTTCCAAAAGACAGGGTGGCTTTTACGATTTTGCTGAACTTTACAAGGCTGAATTTGTTGTTCCCGAGGACCGGGTGTTTCAAAGGTTTGAAAAAATATTAAAGAGAGGAAAACATGCTTGTAGAAGTAATTTGACTTTTACCGGTACTTTAGTAATCCTTGGCGTGTCCCAAGACGCGCCAATTTTGGAGAACTTGATCTATTTGTCCCTTCCCAGGGAATTCGACTCTGCTGCTGATGCCAAGAAAAAATTCCGCACAATTTTACTGATTATCTGTTGAGGAAGTGATGGAAATCCACTATTATTCATTTTACAAAAATGTTTATTCCTGAATGCCCTCAAAACCATGAATCACAAAAGGATTGCTTCTTTATTGCGAATTTTTCTCAGATCCCCGGATATTTTTTTTATACCGAGATTCCACTGAATAAGCATTTTGTTGCCTGAATAATCGAGACTAACAAGGAATGTCAGTTATTCTTCCAGTTAATCATTTACAGGCTATCATAGAGCGAACATCACTCACCGCATGTCATGCGCTGGGACTCATCCTGCTCTTCAAATGCACTCGGTTTTTAAGCTAAAGGTGCAAATAGGTGTGTTTTTATGGACTGTCTACTTAGAAGTCTCTTATGTCACTTGATGTAGTCACGTCTATAGTCCACAAAAGAGCTAGAGTGGACCTTTCGTTAAACGGACGCTTCATCTTTTGTACAGTCTGGAACACTCCTGATTCTTCACAATTTGGATAAACGAAGTAGTCGGTGAGGTGCAGACCATTTTCCGCTCCCAGGTATTCCCTGTCAATCAATTGACTCTTCGTGATACAAGGACCACTGAGTGTATCTGATTTGGAAAATTAAAACCCAATGATCATCATGAAAATGCAGGGCATATCTTTCACAACACCACGAAGTCAATTCTCTCGCATGACTGAATTATTAAACATAAATAGTGATGCAATAAGATATGTTTACTTCAAAGACTTGTTTCCAGGTCTTTGAAGAAATCCTCTAGGGCACATGTTATTAAAATCTGACCATGAAAAACTACTCAACTATTTTAATGTTGTGGTATAGAAAATATCTTAACAGAAATAATGTTGAATCAACATTTTCCAGTACTGTATATAACAACGTTTTCACCAAGTCTTGGATGGAAGCCCAGAGTACATGTTAACAAAAATACACTTTTCACATAGCAAAGATATCCTTTTCAGTATTGGTGGTACCTTGGAATTTGACCTTGTGAAATTCAATGATCCCACAATTTGATAATCAAACTAGTGGGGAGGTTGACCCTCAATTTGACCTCTGCCACCCAATTCAACCTTTGGAGAGACATGAAACATCAAATGCCATGTAGAAAACATGGCATTTGTTCTTGTCTTGCAATCTGACCACTTTGCAATTTGACCATAGTCAAGCAATGGATTATGGTTAAATTTTGAGGAACAACCTGTATAAACTTTTTTTCAAGAATGTTCAATGGATTGTTCAATTGATGTTCAATATAAACTTCCTGCCTTTAAGGAAGGCACAGTCTAAAATTTCTGATCCAAATAAAATTGACCAGTTTTTTCTTGCATGGATGGAGCCTGCAATCAATGACAAACATGCTTCTAAGTGGGTTTTCACAAGATTCTTCCTAAACAGAAGACCTGCATAATGGAATTTATCCTCTCAAAATAGTGAAGAGATTGGTGCAACTGATGGAATGATAATCAACTGAATCTAACTCTATTTCAGAAGATCGCTCAGTTTTCCAAACAACACTGAAAAGATCCAATAATTCCAGAAAAGCAGGATCTGTAGTCATATTAACGACCACAACACCCTTCACTTTACGTACGACCCTTTTAAGCTAATGTGTTTCCGCTACGCTTGGCTGCGCCTGGTGCGCTAGCAATTATATTTCACAATCCCGTTGTTGACGGAATACTTTCCCGACCACGCTCACGCTTCCTTCCTTTGAAACAAACAAAGCATGATGTCCCCGATCCAAATCGGTTTCTATGCGCATTCCTCAACCTCGGTCGGCCAAAGCTATATATACAGGTGCATTTTATGTTGCGTTAAGTTTACTGCACCAGACACTGTCCGAATGCCAAATCTACGTTGCTTTGCTCTTGGTAGAAAATATTGTATCAACTGTGTGAAGATAAATAAATAAACATTTGAAATACTCTCACGGAGTAACTTTTGCATTTCCTTCAAAAGTCGCGGAAAACAAATTAAATCTCCGATCCTCCTTTTCATTAATTAATAGAAAGTAGTTCTCAACGACTGATCATCGTTGATCACCAACTTTCGTGAAATAGTTTTTGGATAACAAAGTACTTATCCAAAAACATGATGTTCGATGGATACACCCTTCTTTCACCAGGGGATTTATGTTTCCTGGGATGTTTCACTAACTGTAATAGTTAGGACAACAATAAGCCCATGTCCTGTAGGTTTTAGGGTGGACCTGTCTACAGTAATACACCAGCTACGTCCGCCCTTACATTGAAAGACCCTCTTCAAACCAAAAATCTGAAGAATTCCAAGATCCTCAGTTTTTACAGCAAGACCAGCCTAATCAACAAATACGTCATCACAAGGAGGACCTTGATTTTTCTTTGAACACCGGTGATCCCCCTCCATGTGACAAAAAACCAACGAATATTCAGGCTGACATCATTGATCTTGCTGACGTCACTGACGACCCTATACAAATTGCTGACAATATCAGCCCTGACGTGAAACCTGACA